AGGGTTATCAACCGCCGCTGTTCCCGTCCCAGGAGGGGCAGGTAGAGGTTCCATCGGTGCAATGCCACCTCAAGCGGGCCCATCATGTTTGGAGGGAGACCAGGGCCGCCTTATCCCGCATGGCATCCTATTATATTACTCATTATTACTCCCATATATGACCTACTGTGTGGAAATATGGGGTAACGCCTGTAAATCAAACACACTCCCTGTCTTAAAACTACAGAAAAAAGCAATCAGAATAATCAATTGGTCTAAATATATCGAACCCACAAATCCACTATTCATCAAATTAAACACAATGAAATTCTACGACCTGGTTGACTTCAAAATCGCCCAATTAATGTATAAAGCACATAACAATCTCCTTTGCCAAAATATCCAGAAGCTTTTTGAAATTAGAGAGAGCAGTTATAATCTAAGGGGTACGAATCAATACAAAAAATCCAGAACAAGAACAAACATTCAGCAAATGTGTGTATCAGTAATGGGTGTCAACCTGTGGAATAAGCTTGAAACGGACTTAAAAATGAGTAAATCGCTGGAGGAGTTCAAAAATAAATTCAAAAGATTAGTACAAAAAACTACATGAATCAGAATTAAGAAGATAAATTTGATATGCTTTTTGTCATGTTCCGTATTTGGCAGCAGGTGGCAGGCGTTCATTTCTGCTGCCTACTCAGCTGCTGCCTATTTGTCAGTGATTACACACCTGCTATATCTAGGCACTCCGGCTGTCGACTCATTGCCAGAGTATTGCATGCCGTGCCACTGCCGTTGCCCAAGTATTCAAACGTTACTCGTATACTATCAGTGATTGTTACATTTTCGTGGTCTTGTTGAAGAATATTTTTAAGTGCGTGCTTTATCCAGTATTCGTCTACATATTTTCCTTGCTGTTTTTTGCAAGCGCTTGGCTTGTTGTTGTCGCGTTTTCATTATTTCCTGGTTCTCGTTATTTACCAGCGTTTTCTGTTTTCTATTAGGCGGAGTTTTTTGTTTATAATAAATATTATTTTGAGACAGAGTCCTTGTCAGTGTCTGCTATTTCGGGGATCCACTTATTCTCGCTTTTTTCTGTTACGTACGAAGCGGTTCTTTTTCCAAAATATAGTATGACAACTGTTTGTTCATGTTTTGGATTTTTGATCAATTATACACACAAACCGAAAGGTGTATAAATAGAAAAGTATAGTATACATAATGGTAAAAGTATTTGATGATATGTAGACGATTTCTTCTTCTTTGTCTTGAAAAATGATCAATTCATATTACTACACAATGAGGGGTAGGACTAGATAAGTTGTTTACTTCTTCCTACTCCTTTGAGCATACAACTGTGATGATGTGTGTTTTTCTTTTACTTACTTTTTTAATTTTCCTTTTATAAATGTTCCTTGCCTTTGTCAATCTGTTATTGTGTGTACTATATATGCTCAAAAAACAATAAACAAACAATCAAACAAATATAACACGTTAATTGTTAAAATAAGCGGGGGGGTTCACATTTTCAGCTAGTGGTGGGCTGCGAGATTTTTTTCAATGAAAGAAGTGTGCCTTGGCTCAAAAAAGTTTGAAAAACACTGCACTAACCTAACTTATACATGTTTAAATCTATTAGTATACAGCATTAAGTCATGTTAATTACTACAAAATTTACTTCTACATGCATGTATACCATTAAATTTGGCCTTTGGCGGGGGTCGCTACTTCGCGGATTTTCGTTTATCGCGGGTGGTTTTGGTCCACATTAACTGCGATAAACGAGGGATAACTGTATTTTCAGGTTAGTGATTTATTAGCACAGAATTTGGTTACTTTATTTAGCATAGCTTGTCATAGTATTGAAATTATTTAGGTCGTAGTTTAGTCTTAGGGAGTATTGTTTCGAACCGAATAAGCCCAACCCTCTCCCCCGTCACAATGGTCTTCCACGAACACCCGTTTTCAAATATTAGTGAAGGGTGGAGCAAGAGTCGGGTAGTGAGATGAGAACCCATTTAATCTAAATGTCGAGGAGCTTGCTACTTATACTGCCACTATGTCGAAGTCTGTCTGGAAGTCACCACATTTCTTATTTTAAATGAAGATGACAAAAGTCTTGTCAGTGGTCTGAGCCATTTCAACTGTTCTGGCATTGCACGTACCTTGCTAGCTGCGTTGCGAGCTTGCTGGATAAGCTGTCGGATGCGGTTGATGCTCATTGAGATGTTTGGTGACTGCACAGAGCGGTTGTGTAGCTTGTCCAACTTGTTCAGGAGGAGCGGGATCGTGTCGCCCAGCATGCTCACTGCGGCACATTCCAGTGAGCCACATGCAGGAAACAATGCAGTTTACCACGGAACACACATACTGATTTTGAGCAGATTCATTTTTTAAACGTGAGCCAGCCCACACAGCTTTTATAGATTATTAGAAAGCCCAAACAATTTAAATATTTGTCGCTCTTAACGTTTACTGCATCTGAGTCATTTTTCTGTTTCAGCTTGTCCGGCTGCATTTGAATGCACCTTGCGTCTAGCTAAACAGGAGAGGTGTAAATGTTTGATGTCATGTTCCTGTCATCACCCTTAGCGTTTGACCTACAATGGTTGAGTGCATTGCAAAGGGTAATACAAATATTTAATTACAAGAATCTGCCTGTGACATGGCACAAGTGATCCAAGTGATCAGCCCGCAACAGACACATTAAATCCGTTCCCTCGTTTTAAGCTAGCAATCGCTTAATACAAGTTAATAGTTTGAGACCCAAGCAACCATGATACATATATTGTGTTTTACAACAGTAGTACCAACAGTATTCACCTGTACAACTGAAAATAGACCAACGCGCAGTCTCCGTTGCAAAAATTATGAGCGCCTCAAGTGAATGACAATGAGCTGAATGGAAAACTGCCTTTTGTCAAGCAAACAGAGGGGGGAATAAAGCCTAAACAACACTCCCACCCGCTGAAAAAAATAAAATTTGAAAATTGAAAGTAAATCTGCAAATCTAGGAATCCGCGGGTATGTTTTTTACCAAGCAAGAATATATTTGTTGGGAATACTCAATTATTTGACAGAATTTTGAGGAGAATACTCAAATCTTAATTTATTCAAAAGATGCCACCCTAAATTCAGCAGCTTGGTGAAGTGCTGCCTCCACCACGAAAAATCCATGCTTTCAACAGGCCCTCCTACTCCTCGTCACGGTAATGACAGACGCACATGCTATAGGCCCACCAGCATTATATGAGACAGAACTGCCCCATCCAAACAGGCTGCTCTCAGGAAGACAGCAATAGGGTGTGTTCTTGATCCTTCAGGGTTCGTGAGGTATATGAAAACAGGGACATAGAATCTCCTTTAACTTCTGATTACACTGACTGTATGTCAACGAATAATGTTCAAAGGTTACTAAAAACAATGTGCATTCACATTATACAGTCGGAGTTTGATGACGACGGTGGCAATTTTGACTAAAATGATTCTGAGATGTTTTTTTTTTTTTTTCAACAGGAACTTTTATTTCTAAAGTCTACCAATAGGCAGTTGGAACAGTGTGACTAACTTCAAGGTAGCAGTTTTTACATACATATTCTGGGCTGTGTGACAGTTCCTACCCGTCTTGTTGACCTCCGTCAGAGCCTCGTTGACGTCCTTGTTGGTGGTGTTGCTATCACCGTAAGTCTGCTGCCACTTGTCCAGCTGCTCTCTGATTGGACGAAGGACATCATTGACTTGCGAGACCGATGCATTGGCCTGATCCACTGCTTGCTTGGCCATGTCAATGTCCTGACTGACATCTGCAGGGCACACAGGAGTGAATACTTAACATATTTTCCACACTATAGTTGCTACTTTTTTCACACACTTGACAAAACTGTATATTTTTCAACCGCCCTCGGTTGTGCTCGTTCACAAGAATGGAGGGTAGTTTCCAGTTCTAAGAGAGCTGCAACAGCCACGAGATATAGCCGAGGTGCAGCCTGATGTGAGAGCGAGCCTTTTCGCATGACGTCAACAAAAAAGTCCCGGACAAGGCACTTTGAAACAGAGCTGTGCTTTGGAAAAAAATTGTTCATACGCAACACGGCATCGGGTAAGACATGTTTTTTATTTACAGTTGTTTTCTTGTTCCTCACACCTGTTTTGGGACAAATCCACTCACAGGCCGTCATGATTCTGGGCGAACGGCGAAGGTTATGTTATTAAAGATACATTTGTGACAATTCTGACAGCCAAAAGTGGAAGCAAAGGAAGAGAATTTCTGACATTTAAAAAAAAAAAAAAGGAAAAAAAAAAAGAGAAAAAAATGTGTCTGAACACAAGAAATGCCAATCTAATTACGGTATTATCCTGATAATCCTACACTTTTTGAGTGTGGATACCAGCAAATTGGGGGCCCGTATAATACGGTGGTCCCCAACCCTTTTTGCGCCACGGACCGGATGAGACAAGTACATGCTGTTCGCGGACCAGCAACCATTTTGTTTTTCATTGCTTTTTATTTGCCAGTTTTTAAGTATTGGTACTGACAACACCGATCATTATAGAGTAATTCAACATTTTATGAACGCTCATGCATTTCAAACAGTGTTATTCTAATGTACAACAAACGTAGAATAAAATAAAATAAAAAAGTCAACTATTAATAAATGAACCAAACAGGAATATTAAATACGCCTTATAATGTAAACGTGACAATCCTACAAATGGCGTTAGCATCACTGCTAGATGCAAATGTGACACGATTGATTGCTGCTTTTATCCGGTGGCTGCCGGCTCATTTTTAGCGACTAAACTACTAATGTTTACATGGGCAGGCAAACTCTGCTGGCATTTTCATACTTCCCACTTGATCACTTGGGTGCTACTTGTTCAAATGATTCAACAGGTTTCTTGTATTGCTTCATTTTTGTCGACAAACCACGCACAACAGCTTCCTCCTCTGCATCGCTCTTGCGAGACCGCGAGGGAAGGGACCCCCTTGTCAAAATACCGTAGCTTCATCTTCACCTTCATGCCAAAACATTTGGTCAATTTGTCATTATTGCTTTCTGCGTACTGCTTCTTCTTTCATTTATTGGCGAATTCTGTTTATTTCAACTTGCAAACCAATGTTAGAATGACTCAGATTGGCCAGAGTCGCGCACATTTCCACGTCGTCTGATGGAGTATATATGCTTAGATTTTCAAAAAAGGGTCATCCAGGAGAGCGTCCGGTGTAAAGAAATCAAAGGAATCATGCAAGTGAAGGCGTCTTTATATGACAATGGCTATATTGCATCACGTGATTGACGCAATATGTCTGTGTTCCCATTGCAGCATAGAATGCCGTGTGCGTCATCTCTCATGATTGGTCCATTTAGACACATGCTGTGATGATGTCGTACTCAGTTTTCCCTTGCTAGGGTCCTCAATAAACAAGGCCTTTTGAAGTTAATGTATTTGTCACCACACAGGAGAGGATCTGCACCATGCAGCTCATTGCTGCAAAGCAAGCAACTTCCACACGCAGCACATACGACCTATTTCGCAAATACAAAACGCATCATCTGGTCATCTGTGTTCCTTTGTTTTAGCAGGCATGGTCTCCATTGTTGTCGCTCTGCTGCTTGTTCCGCAAAGTAAAAACGTAGACCAGAATTGGCCATGAAATGTCAAGGAAACTCCACCCTTAGCTGTCCTTGTCAATACCAGCCGTAGCGACTCTCTCCAACTTGGAGTGAAACTGCAACACATTTTTAAAACGTGTATGGGTTGCGCGCAAATATAAAGTCAAACTGTGCACATCACTGCAGCAGTGATGTCCGTGCGGTCGCTGCCCGCAAGGAGTCTTGAGTGGACAAGCAGAAAGTCACAACAATAATAACTCTGTGAAACCTTACCAGTTTCTTGGTAAACCATAAAACGATTCATACCAATTAATGTGTTATTTTGTGTTTTTGTGTGTGTTGAAGAGGCCTACTGGAGGAGGATTTCAGGTTGTTCTGGACCATATGGAAGTTTGTGGCCACTTGATTTTGTTTGGTTTTGGCATCGTTCAGTCGCTTCTTGGCATCTTCCAGTTGAGGTCTTAACTCTGTGGCAGAAAAACACCTTCATGAGGAACAAAACACCAATACTCACAAATATTATGCTTCCACAAAACAGATTTCCATCCACCATACCAAAGTCACACAAGGAAACCATCTACACATGCTAAGCTAACATAGCTAACACCTAGCTTGCTCTCTCATGACTATGGCAATATTCACCATTCATAAATCCATCAATTTACCGGTATGTTTTTTTCTGTAAAACATCTACATTTTCCCCCCCAAAAAAGAAAGCAAGAAAAAGAAATAAAACCTCATATTTGAATCCTGGGGAAGGGCCAAGTTTAGCCTGGGTTGTTTGTGCGCGAGTTTGCTGCATGTGCATGTAATGTGCACTTGTGGTTCATATTTTCGAAATCAAATCCTCTGTAAGCCATTTAGTGTTCAGGGTGATGTGAGATATGTTTGAAATGATAATTATCTGTTCTAGCATCATGGTTTATGGTTTATGATTTATTTAAACCAGCTCATGCCTGAGCATTTTTAGTGGTGATCCCAAGCCCGTGCAAACGGTGAACATTGTGACAGGAAGGGCATCCGGCATACAACACTTTCCAATCCACCACAAATCACAAACAACTGCCAACAGTGTTGTCGACCGACAGTGTTCTGGTGGAAATTAGGCAAAAAAAAAAAAAAGAAACGAGGTTCGTCTCCAGTGAAGAGGAACGTTAGGAGCGTTGGACAACGTTAAAATGTTAAATGTACCGGTAGGTAAAATTCATTCATTCATTTCTAGTTTTGTTTCAGGCAAGAGCAAAATCAACACTGTCAGTGTTGTATTCCAACAAGTAACAAATGAGCAAATTGGTAACCATAGTCACTTTTGCCTGAAAAGGAGTGGGAAGCAGAGTGTTTTTCCCACCCTTGCTTCCCATTCAAATTACTACAAAGATTAGCTACTCTGCTACTACAACCTTAAGGCAAAATAATAAGTACCCAGGAGGTTATGAATGTTACATTTCTGAAAAAAAATGTACTAATGACATGGTGGCATTACAATCGGAATATTATTGAGGAGGGGGGGTCTAATTATTATCCCTGCGGCTGCTCTCTGACTCTCTGCAACACAAATCCTGCGGCCGGCCTTCAACCCTGCTCCATTACTGCGGTCCTCCCCCGTTCCTGTTCAGGCGCTGCAAGCTTGTGGTCTCCCTCTGATTCTGTTCCAGCAGCACACGTCTTGCGACTGCCCTCTGAACCTGCTGTGGTGCTGCAAGCCCCGCGGCCGCCCACCAAACCTGCTCCAACCTCGAATGTCCTGAGGCTGCTCTCCGGCCCTGTTTCGGCGGCGCAAGCCCAGCAACCGCCCTGCGACTCCTGCGGCCGCCCTCCGAACATGCTCTGGTGTCGCACATCTTGTGGCTGCCCTCTGAACCTGCAAGCCCTGCAACTGCTGTTGGACTTTGCTCCGGCCGCACAAATTCTGCCGCTGCCCTCATCTGGCCTTCGATGATCAGTCTTAGATTTTGGTTTTGACTTTAGATTTCGTTTCATGTTTTTCTCGTGTCCTTTTGTTGGTGTCTGTTGTGTCTATCTTGTTAGGTTTTTGTGCCCATCTGTGCTCGTTTACCCGATCCCTTGTATTATCCAATCAGCTTCCTCTTGTCTTGCTTGTTTTTAGCCTCTTGCTTTTTTTCATTTTTGTTGGTTCATTGGCTTTGTCACTTGCAACTGCTGTTTGTTTCCTGTCTCAGTCCAAATCAACTAACCACAGTGGAGCATTATTTTCTACGCAAGCGGTACGTCTGGTTGATATGATCGACTCAAATGTCAATGACGGCAGAATAACAAGGCCTCACATTTTGTACAATAAAGTTAGCATTTGGAGCGAATAACAATTTACTATTATTTTACAGCGAATACATAGTTTGCCACGGAGCAAAGACAAAGGGCGGGACTGTTGATTTTTGAGGTATTCAAACAAATATGCAGCATGCAGTTTAACAACAACCACCATGATTAAAGATGAATAACACATCATTAAATTCAACGGAGTGATCTCAGGAATGTGTCAGACTTCTGTTCTGTGCTACACACTAATTGGCCAGTCTGTGTTTGAGGGACCTGGTTTAGCGAAAGGTGTAAGGAGCTCCACTGAGCAAACGCAATCATTAAGGAGGCACTCATACCATTGTTGAGTTCCTCGCTGAGGTTTTGTACTTTCTCCTTCAGCCCCACACTGCGGTTCCGCAGAGACTCAGCCATGTGGCCAAGGTTCTGGTCACCGATGTTCTAGAAGAACACGAGGTTAGAATCACAGGAGGAGTCAAAGAAAGAAATCAACAGATGACCTTCACCTCCAGTGTCTTGCTCGCGTCTTCGTCTGCCTCGTCCGCTGCCGTCTCGGCTGCTTTGATGCTGTTGACGATATTGTTGTAGGCCTTGGTCATGTCCACCAAACCCTCGGTCTTTGTTTCTTCCACAAACCTAACAAGACACCATGTGAAGAACCACATACACTGTTTTTTCCATGTTGTCACCACTCAGGACCATTTACTTGGACAGGTTTGCGGATAAGGCGTGCAGCATGTCAGCATGGTGCTCAGCTTCCTCCACCAGGGGTATCTTTGAGGTGGCCCAAGTGAAATCCTGCACTTTCTTGGACAATGGCGTCCTGGCACCATCGAGCTGCGCTGCCAAACGCTCATAATCCTGTGGGACAACACAATTCAGGACTTGCGTGTGTGTGTGTGTGTGTGTGTGTGTGTGTGTGTGTGTGTGTGTGTGTTACAAACAAGCATAAACCCTGTTACTGAGACCAGCACTGACCTCCATCAAGGACTCGTAAAAGTGAAAAAAGTTAGTGATGAGACTAATTCTTGGTTTGTGGAGAACGACAGGGCCGCACGATTATGATTCTGGGGGTTGCATACTTCCAGTAATCTTATCAAACACTGGGAATATGAACTTTCTGGCAGATGCGACTTTATCCCAAGCCTCACTAGAATCAAACCGCTTCTTGACAACAGTCTTTTTCAAATTTCACATCTAATAAGACACTCCCATGAAAAAACAAACGCACAGTTTTACACAATACTGTAGATCAGCCTTTCAATGTCATGATCTGTGTTTTTTTTTTTAAATTGCGTTTGACTTTGTTTCATGTTTTGTCTTATTTTCTTGTGGTGCATATCTTGCTTGTTAACTTTTTTGTGTTTCCAACAGTGCTCGTCAACCTGGTCCCTTGTGTCTACCAATCAACTTCCTCGGCCACTTATGTCTTGTCCAAGTGTTCCTTATTGTGCTGTCAGTTTGCTTGGAAATAGGCAACGACCTCACACTGCAGGGTTTGATGCCGAATTCAGATTTTTTGCTTCACTGTAGTCATTCACATTACAAAAACAAATGTGAACACAAAACTAATATGAACGCAAGTGAGGTGTAACGCATGCACACAGAGCACAACATCGAGTGACGTGAGCCTCAAAAAACAGGCAGTTTTGCGGAAGTAAACATGGTCCTACATGTGAATTGTCAGAGGAGCAAGGTGGGAGGAGGTAGAAATATAAAAACACAAATGTTTTGACTTATATATTTATGTCTTTTTACACAGTGTAGTTTGCTACTTTTATCTTTGGCTGTGTGTGTTTTCATGCACAGCATGTTTGCATGTTTGCATTGAGGATTGAGAAGAAAGAAATTTAATCTGTGCTGTATGCTATACATAAAGCATATTTGACAATAAAGATGACCATGACAATATCAATACTTATATAATAGTTACATTTTGTTTCCATAAAAACATTAGTTCATTTGTTTTTTTTTGTTGTTTTTTTTTTTTTTTTTTAATAGTAGTTGTCTTTTTGTACAAGAGCAGCGCTGTGTATTGAGAAAGAGAAAATCGGAGTAAAGTTAAGGAGAGGTCTGGGGGCATAGCCCCCCAGTATAAGCCGAGAGGCTACAATTTACGATGTACTGTATATGGTATATTCTGAGGATTTCCTGGAAGAAAATAATTGGTCTCAATAAGTAAATATTTTACTCGTTTTGGTCTACATTTTGCCACATAAAATACCGACTGAGTTTTCTCTTTTAACTTGTTTAAAATATTTTTTTCTTTTTGATGGCATCTTAACTGTCTGACCTATGTCAACTTACACCCTGCTCCTGTGCCCTTCTTGAAATATCTAATAATTGCACATGTAATTCATCTCTTAATCAAAATAAAAGTACAAACAATGTAAATAACAATTTAAAGAAATGTTTACAAAAGAAAACTTCAAAAGGCATTTCAAAATGGCTTTTCACACACACAATCTGATCTAACATCTTCAACACTAACCAGAACCGAAACAAAATTATTTCATAAATGATTAGATCTACCTGGCAATCGGTAATTTGACAACTTCAATTTCACTCGTTTGGAATGTTTTTTTCCTTGTACGTGGGCCACCAAATGCGTCCTCGCGCCTGATCCATACTTGATATCTTGGTGGCAGACCACGCAGTAAGCCTTGCCCGGTTCCTTGATTTTACGAATGTGTTCATGCAGGTACTCGTTCTCGACTTTATGTTCAAGCCAATTCCAACTCCTTGGGTTTTTGATGTCACTTTCCTTGTCGATTTTTTTCACATTGTCTTTCTCACCGTTTCCTGTTGCACAATATCCCTTCTTGCGACAGACATTCTATCATATTTTCGTAGCAAACCTTGACTACTGGCAGTGTTTTTTTCTGATCAACATGTGTTTACAGGCGAATACCGAGACAGGAAAGACAGAAGTTGGCACGAATCCTGCAAGGCATTCGTTGCAATGTCGTAAAAATAGGAAATATGGCAATGTCGTTCGTCGGAAAAATTCACATACGCAGTGCCAGGTCACGCTATATTTGCCCGCGTTAAGTTCTTGTCGGCTTTGCCGAGTTGCAGTCAAAACATGTTCTACGCTCAGCTGGTGTAAACTCCGTGTGCCCGGCTGTAGTGAGCTGCGGCGCAGGAGGCGTGGTCGCCACGCAAGGCTATTAAAGCCAAGTAGACCCCTAAGCCCCAATGATTTTTAATGTAAAGATAGAGGTTTTGTGAAAATCATATTTTTCACAACAGAATCCGCGGAAATTTCACAGCCCTGACGAGAGGGAATACAACTACATCTCATGTATGCTTTATGTCAACAAAGTTTTTGGGTATATTTGATTTAGAAGATAAGATTTTAATTATATGTGATTGTAGCAGCATTGCTAGGAAACCATAAATTTGAAAAAGGTAATATATATCTGATAGAGAAATCTATGAACAAAATTGTATCATGTTTAAAGTTTCGGTTAATTTGGGCATGTCTGGACATACTCAGCGCAGAGGTGTCGGCCGTTTGGGCGGAGGGCCTTTTCTTGAGTAATCACGTCAAAGCAAGGGGGGGCGACGTGCTGCTAACCAGCCACCGTGCCACCTGCAGTGCTGTTTTTCTGGAATAAAATTATGCCTCGAAAAGTGCATGTTTTTTTGTGGGCTGGCATCTCATTTAATTTCAATGGGGGAAATGTATTTGATGTATGAGAAAATTGAGTCACATACTTGATTAAGGAATGAAATAAACTAGGTCAAGGTACCACCGTCTTTCAAATCATATCTCCATGTGGTTGCAGCATCGATGGAACAAAACACAGTTTAGAGGAGCTTGTAATAACTGTGAATCCAGAGTTTTGCTGGGTCTGAAAAACATTCCATTCCTACATTGTTGTCAGAAAAATGTTCCAGATAGCATACATCACACAACGAAGGTTGTACCGCTAATCAATTTACAGTATATTACAACAATGTGGAGAAAGGAAGGACACAGTGCCATAAACATGCCGTCTTGCTTCAGTGTTGTGCGAAGCAAATCATTTTTCAGAGTCCAAGTTGCTTCATGTCCATTTGTTCAATGTTATGTTGTTTAGAAACAAATGCAAACTTTTGACTTCCAATTATATTCCTTTTAGGAGATAAATAAACACATGCCATCTTTTCATCTGTGACCAAACAGCTGAAAATCACATGAGAGAACCCTACTCCGTTGTGTGTGTTAGATCAAAGTGTTTATATTTGACGAAAAAAAAAGCACAGGACATACAAACACCCCATTTTGAATATATTTTAAGAAGCCAATCAGTCAGTGTGTTGCGTGACTCGTCGAGGGCTGTGGAAGATCGCACCTTATGAATGAATGTGTAGTCTAATGTGTGTTTTTCACATATCCCAGGATTGATACCAACTCTCTCTGGAACAGTCTATTTTCAGAGTAATTTCCTTCAGTATGTCATATACTGTATTATGGACTTTTTGGGGCCGTTAGCTGCAAAGGTAATAATCTTACCTTTGCAGTTAACAGCCCAGTTGATGGTGTATGGACTGCCTATTCTCCAAAAAAAACGAACTTTAGGTAACAAATCTGTTAAATGACACCGTATTTGCGAATAAGCTACTAGCTTTGCAGTTGGCAAATGTAGCATGAGTTCAAGTGCTTCGTACACCTTCCAATATTTCCCCTTTTGTTCAAGTCACTTGATTGTGTGTGCCATGTCTAGCCTCGCGTCATAAATAGAAGGGCACTGTGTTCTTATTGTTCAATGCCGAAGACCTGATCAAAGAATGACGCAGGACATATCACACTGTGCGGCAAGACAAACAAAAATTCTTACATGCCAGACTTTCGGTGCGTGGTCGTGAAGCATCCCAGACGCCAGACGACCAATTGTTGCTTATGTGATGACATTGGTCATGACGCATCAAGACAACTCAAAATCAGCTTTGAGACACTATGCTGGTCTGTGACACGTCTGTTGGCTCAGAATCGGGCTACGTTCGTTGAGTCTGACATCGGCATTACAGTTATAAGAACCTATTTGTAATTCAGCGTTATCAGTGTTTCATTCCCAGAGAAATAAGATGCTTCTTTCAAGATTTCGTGCTGCTATTGTCATAGTGGCATTTCTTTGTGTATGAATAATTACTCCATAAATTGAGATAAAGAGGTGGGAATGATAGAGAAATCTATGAACAAAATTGTATCATGTTTAAAGTTTCGGTTAATTTGGGCATGTCTGGACATACTCAGCGCAGAGGTGTCGGCCGTTTGGGCGGAGGGCCTTTTCTTGAGTAATCACGTCAAAGCAAGGGGGGCGAACAGATGGAAGAAGGCTAGATTCAATCACAGAGTGGGAATGAACAAATTGGGAACAAAGAGTTGTTGAATACCAAAAGACAGTTTGGGAACCGCTGTCACGCCCAGGTGGACATTTGTCATCAGTAAAGTCTGTGACTTGTGTATTCGGGTAGATCAGATCACTACCGAGGGGCCGGACAGGGGGGCGCGGTATGCAAATCTCGGGGGCAGTGTCTTTCTTGTATTTTGCAATAAAAGTTCGAACCGGCGGAGAGGGAGCCGAGAGTGTGATCATCGGAGCAACTACTGTCGTTCGCTCTCAGATATCCCCTCCCGCCAATATTGAAGACAATTTTCCTGTGTGCCGAGTCATTTCTTTCACTTTGTCCGAGAAAATCTCTGACAATATCGCAGTGAAGTAGATGCAATTTTCCAGACGTGGCATATCTGGGTATGTGTGCGCACCTCTGTGGAGTCATGCAGCATAGACAGCAGCTCGTTGACTTGAGCAACGTGGTCTTCCGCCATGTGCAGCTGCTCATCTGCCTCTTTGCGTTTCGATGTCAGCTCGTCCACTTTCCTCTGAGACAGCAGAAGCGCAAGTGATCTTCATGGCTTCTCACCCTGCTCCTCTTCGACGATGACGCTGCCACACTCACCTTGCTGTCCTGCAGCATCTTCTGGTTGCGATTGTTGACCTCAGTGGCTTGGGCCGTCTTGTTGATTGACTCGTTCAGGGCGTCCCGCAGTGCCATCATGTCATCGTGGACGCGGGACAGGAACTCTTTGGCGGTTTCACCCACATTCACGTTGTCCTCCTGGCGACGCGCCAAGTCCTTGTCGACACGCTCCAACACTGTCCGCATATATGTCATGTCACTTCCTTTACGCCAGTGTCTTTCAAACACTGTACCACGGCACACTATTGTCAGGTGTGCTGTGGGAAATGATCCAATTTGCATGCCTATGCGGTCTATCGCGGGCAGAATAATCATGTAGTACTCTTCCATACTGGTAGGTAGCAGCATCAGCTAGCCAATTGCCTTGTGCTTCGAGACAAGCGAAGTTTCTGTCGTGAGGCAATACAACAAAAGCTATCTTTCATTGGATTTACTTTTACTGGAGATGCAACATCACCGACTCCGTTGTGCTTGGTATGTGGTGAAAAGCTCTCCAACAGCACTGTGGTCCCAAGTTAGCTTAAACTCGATCTCCAAACAAAACACCCTTCACTTCGAAACAAAAATGTGGACTAACGGCGTGAACACATGGAGAAACAAGCAACGTGCATGAGCCCTGAAAGCAAGTTACCATGTCGCTGAATTTTTTGTGACTACATCAAAAAAAGTCCCATTGGCAATGTAAATGAGACATTCGGACCCGAAGTGGCTAAAGAAAAAAACTGGAGGAAGCACGACGTGTGTCTTTCATCGATTGCCGCCAGGATATCAGATCTGTGTTCATCCAAACCATTTATCACACTGAGTGAGAATAAATATGAAAAATTATAAAATATTTGATTGATGTTTATTTGATTCGTATTCATGTTGTTATAATGTAATGTTATTCTTCAATATTAAAAAAACGCTTATAACAACAATACAACATTAAAATAAGCTTTTTTTCACATTTTCAGCTAGTGGTGTGGCGCGGGATTTTTTTTTCAATGAAAGAAATGTGCCTTGGCTCGAAAACACTGCTTTACACCACATTGTGGAACCGAGACAACTTACGTTTATCCGCTAACATCTTCTCCCGGTCGACCATTTTCTTCTGTCCCGCGCAGCTTCTGCTTCTCATTTTGCCCAACATGGCCTCCACCTCCTCCATCTTCCTCTTCTGCTCGCCTCTGTCCTGATCTACCTTTGTGTTATTTAGCGACCAATTTGCCATGCGCATGATGTCTGCAAGGGTTGACATCCACAACGTTTCAAAAAGTGGTAGTTTATGACAGTACAGGGCCACTAACTACAGTATATATGATCATATGCTATTGTAATCGCTCAGTGTACAGTATCCATATGCCAACACCAGGTACGGAAACACAGTCGCACAGTCAACCACTCGGCGAAAATCAGCATGTAATTAACACGCTCTGAAATGCACTGGGGGCCGGAAATAAAAAACCTTAAAGAAAAATACAAGCCCCCTTTAATCGGCAAAACATGAAGTGATTACTGACAAATGGTATGATTTCTGCCACTAAATGTGAGTTAGTCTGCTTTTCTGAGCACTCATTTATATGTAACAGAAAAGTGGTTCCACAAAAGGATCAGCTTACACTTTTTTAGACAATCAATAAATGAATCAATACACTTCTGGGCATTGAACTTTTTTTTTTTCCCCTACCATTTAAATCCATGGTCACCATGTGGATATCGTCCAGCAGGTTGTGCGCCCTCTGGTGAGTGTTCAAGGTGCTGTTTGTCAGCTCGCTGAGACGCTCAGCCATCGGAACAGTCTGAGGATGTCACCATAATATCAGCACGGACATGAGTAGTGTCTGAATGGGAATGTTTAAGCTCCAACAAGCACTCTAGTTGGATATTTGCAATTGTGTATTCTGTGATGCTGGCTGGCCTAATAATGATGTCAGGATGTCAACTAAAATGAGGAAGCTGAGACGTTGAACAACAATATAGGCCGTGGCTTATCTTCATGACAAGAAAACGAATGTTTGCAGTGGTTCCCCCCAAGGTACCCTCTGGTAGTAAGCTAAAACTATTCTTGTTACCACAGAAGCAGTGTGCAGAAAACAAAGACATACAGTAATATAAATACTGATTTGGACCGTGTCTACAGACACAATAGAATTAAATCTATTGTTGAAAAATGTGAACCAAAATGGACTGTTTAATGGAAACATACATCACCTTGTCCTGCAGCATGTCCACATCGGTGCTTATGTTCACAATCTCGCCTTCCAGCACGATGGCGCCATGGCGGCTGCCATCCAACGAGGTGTTGTACTTCTCGATGGCATGCTGCGATGGCCGCAAGATGTCAACCAATGTTTAAGAAAGTTCAATATCACATGGATTGGTCAAGGTTACGCTCACATCCTTTCCCAACTTTTGAAGCCACACACACAGCAAAAAATAAGCATCGCTACGTCTTCTAATGAAAACAAAGCGTGCTTAATATATTTTTGTTATGCTATTTTTGCAACGCATAAAGAAGGTTTTCCCAAACATTTCAAGTTATGCTTCTCCTTAACACTCTGACACAGTTGATGTACCTCGATGTCCAACCCATCACCCCCCCTCAAAAAATGCAACACTGCTAATTATATTAATCTTTTCATCAAGCCACGACTTCCTGAAACAGCCCGCTGCAAATGGTGCACTTCTACCAAGCATGACAGCCCTTCCCAAACTTTTTAATGCCCACACCACCTTGACCATGCCTTTCGAGTTGGCACACACTAACCACCACACTACAACACCCCCCCCCACCCCAAGTTCCCAAAGCAGTACAAAAAAGAAATTTCAGCCCCTCCATGTACTGATCTTATGTCGAACAACCTTTTCCAATTTTTTAAAATCACGCCCGCTCTTCAACACCAATACATAATTGGCACACTGCTAATTGCAGCAACATAACCCATGCTTAACCCACTCCACCCCCCCCCCCAAAAAAAAGTAGTGTGTGTGAAACTCACAGCAACGGCATCCACCGAAGTGTTGAGCTTGTGCAGCTGCGTCCAGGCCATGGTGCTTGCATTGAGGTTGTGCAGCTGTGCAGCAAGGGAGTCAAAGTCGATCTTGTGCAGATCATCCAGCAGGACGATGACGCAGCTATCACATGCTGCCATGGGAACAGAACACCCACATCACATGACATGCGTGTATGATGCCTGTGTGCGTGACGTGTGTGCGGCGACGTGGCTATGTGGGGCCGCCAGGGTGTGTCAGGACTACCTCCCACATTCGGTACCGAATACGAAAGCAGTTTATGACCACATTTCACTGATAACAAAGACATTTATTTCAAAGCTGGATGGATTGGGAGGTTTTCAACGGAAATGCCCACTGGTTCACCACAGCGCTTCATTGATGGCACTTCACCTTACTCCCTTGCTTCTTAACCATTTTCTGAATATCTACCTATCAGCCATATAGCGTTTCAGCAATGGTGTGAGAAGCGTTTCAGCAGTGTGTGTATAAGTGTTTCAGCAGTGTGAGTGGCTGCATCAGGACGGCATGTGAGAGCATTTTTGTAGTGTGTGTTCAACTTAATTTTGAATTCCATACTTGACAATGCCTCATACAGAATGTGTGTGTGTATATATACATGTGTGTGTGTGTGTGTGTGTGTGTGTGTGTGTGTGTGTGTGTGTGTGTGTTTTCACCTTCGCAGTGCAGGTCATGACCGTGCGTGACAGGAACGTTGTGTTCATGCGAACAGATTTCACACTGTTTTCCCGTCATCCCGTCCCGACAGTGGCACTCTCCGGTCCGCGGATCGCACTGACCGCCCCTACAGTGACACACTGATCCAACAGACACGTCACACCATCAGTACCGTCAAATGCTAGGTCATTTGCCAGCTTGTTTGTGTTCACGCTCGCTCACCCTTGCATCCATCAGCGCCATAGTCCCAGAATCCGGGAGCACACTGGCGACAGTTGGGTCCGTTGACTCCGGGTTGGCACTTGCACTGACCGCTCTGACGGTCACAAGGCTGCACTAGTGCTGCAGAAGCACCACAGTCGCACAGACGGCACCCGACGCATGACTCGAAGCCAAACGAGCCGTCCTGAGAAACAGGAACAATGAGATGTTGATTTGGAACCGTAAACAAAATTGAATGTGGAAATAGAGTCAAAATGTCACCAATGTAAAAGCGGGCACAGAGACGTCAGACTAAAGTGTCTTCAATATTGTGTGTACAAGTCATTGTGTGTAGACTGTTTGTCCACCCATCAAATGTAAGATTAAACATTCAAGTAAATGTTTTCTGATTTGACTATTTCTGAAAATGTCCTGCTCTGTCATAACAACAACAAAAGCTGTTGACGGCAACCTCTTGTCCCTGTCAGCTGTTCACCTGAACAGTAGGTGCGGCGATAGAGCTGTGCCGAACTGTCAAATAATATTTATGTGGTTGCCTCGGACTCGGGGTGATATCGTGACTAAGTTTGTTATTCGATCCAGCATTGATTTTGCGGGACATGGCCTCAATTCGCAGGATGCATGGATTGATTGTCAAACGCTATACATGCACGTGCTACACGGGACGGTTGGCCACCCTAAGTGTTTCCCAATCTGGGGTATGCAAACACATTGCAGGCAGTACGTGGAAATACTTAATATTCTTTTTCCAAGATGACAGGCAAATATTCTCAGTCATTTCATAAGACCAACAATAAAGTGGTTTGTGTGAGCTGTAACTTGTCTTCCCTGGGAGACTACTACTTGCAGGCAAATTTGGATAAATGGCTGAAACGCCCAGTTGCTCTGGATTCAGAGAAGAGTGTTCATAGGAGCCTCTGAGACACGCAAGGAAGAGCTCAAACAATTTACACAATGACTCAACCAAGGCAGCCCGGTGAAAACTACACGACATTTTATGTGGAATCACTTCCGTCTGCAGACCCACCACAGCCTTAGTGCTTCTTTTTTGGTTAAATCCTAGCATATAACTCAATGAAGCCAGCCCATGTAGAGCAACACAAGAACACCAAACACTCGGAAAGTGCTGGTCAAACGCATGACAGCGACTGGAATCGAAGCCAGGTCAGACTGTCATGATTAAAGCCACACGTGTCATGCGAGCACTGAAAACATCCAAGGCTGTATCTCCGCGTGTTGCAAATCAAAAACACAATTGGCGAAGGACTCATTGTTCCTTACAGCAACTGTTATGGCTGAAATCATAATTGACAAGAAGGCAGCCAACACACTGAAGAAAGTTCTCCGGTCGAACAAATTCCGAACGACACTCTTTTCCGTTGGATTGATGAGGTGTCGTGACCTTCGTTCGTTACACAGATGTGTCAGACACAAAGAAGCATATTTTACAAACCCCAATTCCGAGGAAGTTAGGATGTTGTGTATAACATAGATGAATTCAGAATGCAATGATTTGCAAATCATGGTCATCCTATATTCCACTGAATACACTACACTACACGTTTTTGTGTATTTGACAGAACATCTGAATCTTCTTTCTGTGGTGTTTCAGGATGTTAAGTAAGGGGCCCGCCTGGCATATCTCACTGATGTGGTTATCAACCATCATAAGCTCAGCCTATCGCTTCAGGTAAAAGAGGCACGCATCCTGAAACTGTCTGACAAAGTTCAAAAGATTGACAAAAAAGCTCCAACTATGGGAGGGGAAATGAGTGAGATGTCAGCTATTTCCCACTACTTGATGCCCATCTTGCCACCACTGATGTTGCTCTGGGGCCAGTCCTCAAAATGTTGCAAGCACATCTGTTGATAACTCTGCACTGATTTCAGCCAGTATTGAGACACTGAAGAAAAGTCAGAAAGACTGACTTGGGTGAGAAAGCCATTTACTGTGAACGAGATTCGCAACAACCTTCCCTGCAAGGTTGCAGCGGCATCTAATGGATTTATCAACCGAGTGGGGACTGCAAATGGCATATGCGGGGAAGACATTGACTGACTTTCGATGTGATATGGAGAAGGAATATCCTGAACTGGGTAAACATGCACTGACTGTCTTTGGGTTTTCCAAGTACAGTCAAACCGCGGTTTTCAAACGTCTCTGTTCTTGACGAAATCGGTTTTCGACCAGAAAATTCGAGATTTTTACGCCTCAGATTACAACCGAAAACTGGTTTTCGACCAAACTGAGGAAACCTGAATACGCCACTTGACTTCTCTCGGCTTCCTTACACGAGGAACTGATGCCATTTCCTCATGTAGCGTTCATCGTGAGCAGATGTATTTGTTATGATTTACGCAAGTCTGACTGTTTGTATGTTATTTCTGCATAGTCATAATCATGGGCTAATAAAATAGTTTCGGATTTCGAAGAAATCGCTTTTCGAACAGCCTTCTGGAACGGATTATGGTCGAAAACCGAGGTATGACTGTACCTAAGTGTGAGGTGTGTTAAAGCTGAGAACTTTGACACATGTCAAATCAAGCAGAGGAAGAGAGTGGATGTGGACAACAGCCTAGAAATAGTTGTTTCCACATTGACCCCACAGCTATCAGAGCTTGTGAAAGACACATATGCCCAAGTGCCTCGTTAAAAGTCACATGCTTGCTGAAAAGAAAGCTATAGATGAAGCATGATGGGTGGAAGGTGTACAGATGACATTGGAGCATCCAACAAGTGATTCCACAGACTCCAAACTCAAAAAGGTCACGAAAGAGCTGGCAAATGAGGCAGAACAAGGATGGTTTTGGCTCTGGCTCCGAAGACAGAGTGCGGGGGAAAAAAAAGATCCTACCTCCTCTGGTAGAGGACCTGAGCTGAATGGGGGATGGACACCACCCGAGGGGTGAGACGAGGATTTTTTTTTTTTTTTTTTAAATCCTCGTCTCACCCCTCGGGTGGTGTCC